CCCTCTTACCTCCCATTGGCACAGGGCTCATTTTAATCCTCCCTGTCCAGGCTTATGGAGAGGAGCACATGGCCATCTCTCTCCAAATATCTTCATTCTCAGAATGTGGCTGGACATGGTTTGGGGGCTGTGTGGACTTCTCCCACCTCCCATGGAGCAGGCCTGTGTTGTCAAGGAAGGAGGTCAGGCCCTGTCCAAGGAGAACTGCTCTCGTGGCTGGCTGGGACAGCCCAGGGGGTTGATGAGGGGGTTTTATATGACTATGTGGTTTTAAAGAAAAATGAAGCAAATGTTTTAAAACAGAAAAACTGGCTTTACTTGAAGTTGGGCTAAATTACACTAAATTAGACTTTAGGTTTTAGGTTTTGTAGTTGCCTGTCAGTTACTACCTGTGTATGTTTCCTGCAAATTGATTCAGTCTCTCTATAGGTATGTTCTTCAGATGCTTCATACCAGAACTGTAAAGCTGTGATTGCTGTATTTTTGAACAATCAAATCCCGTATTATATTTTTTTCATTCCCTGCATTGGATATAAAGTTAAAGACTTGATTTTAAAGCAAGAAAATAAGAATAATTAAAGAATACATTACCTTGTATTTGCCCAACTTACATTTACTTTAAAATATTTTATAATATTAATTTTTTAATGTTTCAGATTTGTTCATTTTCCAGAACTGTATTGTAGCCTTCTCTTTTCAGAAGTGTTGACCTTTTCCTCATGATTAATGACAGTTTTGTATCTTGATTCAGACCTACTTCTTCTACTCTTTATTTCTCAGGATGAAGTGGCTCATACACTTACAGAAAGCAGAGTATTGAAAAACACCAGACACCCTTTTTTAACAGTAAGTATTAGGAATTAATTTCAAGTACATTAGCAGGTAATTTGTAGCAAGAAGGGTTTTCCGTTATTAATATAATTTACAAACAAATTTCAAAGTCTTTCTCATAATGAGTTTTAAACAAGTAGTAGCTGTCTGGTGCATATGATTTTTTTTTAAAATCAGAATATATATTGAAGATTCCAGAAATAAAGTTTCTAATACTTTTGTAAATGTAACTTGTGCAATTTTTTTTTGTATATGAACACTTCTTTACTAAAAGTTATTGAATATTTCACATAGTGTCAAATAAGTAATTTTTGCCAAGAAAACTTAATGAAGAATTCAATAAAATTATTATAAAAAACAGCTACTTGTTCACCATAAGTAGCCCATGGAGTAACAAAACTCAAACCCCATTACTCAGTATATTTGTCTGCAGATGGCCAATATTTTATACAAGGAAAATATTGAGAAGAAGATTAAAAATTTTGAGTTTCATGACAAGTTATGATTAATAGTACTAATTTTATAACTGACTTTCTTTTGTAGAAGTAATTCTGATTTCCCTTGAAAATATATTAGAAAATATTTTCATTTATTTCAAAAGATAATTAACATGTTGTGTTTTAAGATGGGGAAAAATTGTTTTCTTTTTTGTATTAGAATACCAAAGTATAACATGGAAGCTTTCCTACTTAGAAAATCATAAACAAACCCTTTAGAAAGCAGAGGATTACATTTATGTTGCTTGGCCAAATTATTCCTGGAAATTCAGTCAAGAGAAATGAGATCTCAGAAAGTTTCTTAATTTAGAGTGTAAAGGTAAGCAGGAGTAGGTGTAATTTCATCATGCAACAATGTCACTTCAGTTGTATCTTCATATCTTTCTGATATTATTAAACAACTATTTTAAGGAGACAGTCATTATTTAGGCCGTGTGAGTCTCTGTATGATTTTGTTACATGTAGTTCTACTGCATTTTGTTTCTTTTATGCCAAGCCTACATCTCTAGATTTTTCTTTGGTATCATTTTTCCAAGCAAAGTCAAATCAACATCAAAAGTAAAAAAATTTAGTCAGATAATAACATGTTACAATTTTATAGTGAATAAATTTATTAGTCTTACACTAATTTTTTTAGCGTTGCACAGTATGTGAAACTAGAGTGTGCTTGCTTTGAAAATAAAAGCAACCTGGAGCATAAGATCATGTAAGATTTTATTTGGAAGAAATAAAAAAAATATGGTAATCTTTCTCTTCATGGGAATTGTGGAAGTGGGCATCATAAAATATTATGAGTGAGAATATCTGGTACCGTGTATGGCAGTAAGAAATGCAGTAGAAAATTGTGTAATTTAGTAATTGATTAGTATTTTATTATAATAAACATATATATATATATATATATATATATATAAAGAAACATATAATAAAAATGTTTTCATATCAATGGCCACATGGTAGAGATGAGGGAAGATGTGAAGGTTTCTGAGTTAATTCATCTCAGGCTCCAGATAGGAAATTAAACTTTTAATTGCTCTGAAAGTTTTCACGAAATCAGAATTGTCCACTTAAGAGGATAAAACTGAGTTTTGTTACAGTTTAAGTGCAAGAAATTGGGTTGATACAATATGATAATTGGTTTGGTTTTGCTGTTTTCTTTGCAAGTCCTTGAAATATTCCTTCCAGACAAAGGATCGTTTGTGTTTTGTGATGGAGTATGTTAACGGAGGAGAGGTAAGTTTAAAAAAGATGTGCTGCACTTGTAATGGTAATGCTGTCACTGGGTAACACTCTTAAGGATGCAATTGATCTTGCCTATTTTGCTTTCTAGTATCTTTGAAGATTGTGGGTTCTTTTTTATTTTTAAAATGGTTTTATTTTTAAAAAGTAGATGTTTTAGAACTATGCTGTCAAAAGAGCTCCTATTCTTGAGAAATTATAGAGTGTTGTATCTTGAAAGATAATTTCATTGTAGAGAAATAGCTTGCTTATTATTTTTCTTCAACAGCATAATAGCATGTTCTAGCATGAAGCAGTCATAATCCAGTGCAAACAAGCAAAAATAAATTTGAACAGTGATGCTTTTGTCCTAATGTGAAATGTATGCTCTCCTCTTTCATATAGCCATTGCAAATACCTATGAGAAGATACTGGTGTGTTTGTATTTGGCACTGTTACTGTCCCCTTCACATGCTTTGTGCTCTGGAAATTTCAACTTGAAGTTAGTAAACTTTTTACAGCGTAATTAGCTCTTAAGCCATTGATGCGGCTGGAATAGGTTGTCCAGGGAGGTTACTGATGCCCCCTCCCTGGAGGTGTTCAAGGCCAGGTTGGATGAGGCTTCATGCAGCCTGGTCTAGCGTGAGGTGTCACTGCTTATTGCAGAGATGTTGGAACCTGGTCATCTTTAAGGTCCCTTCCAACCTTAACCATGCTATGGTTCTATATCTTCCAGCTCTTTACTGAAGAACAGAATATCAATTAAAGGACTAAGTGTTTCCCCTGGCTTTTTTTATTCAAAAACTCTTTCTTGATTCAGGAATCGTTGCAGCACGATACCACATTTTGCATTATCCTTTTACTATGCTCTCCTACAATAAAACTGTCTTCAACTAGAATTGTAATGCATGAGCACCCCCAGAGTGCCTGTCTTGAATTCATTGCTCTTGTGGTTTCTGAACCCAGTCTGAGGCCAGCATTAGGTACTACCTAATTAGGTCTACCAGCATTAGGTAATGTACATGGTGCTACAGGGTTCTCAAATGGAAGGATGGCTTATTGAACTCGATATATATAAACGCAGTTCTGGACATCACAGATGTTGAACCATGTTGGCTAGTTGGACTAGACACAAACATTTTCCTCAGCAGTAATGGGTTACCAGCCTTCTCTTGAACCCTCAGCTGACTTGTTTGACATCGAACTTACGACACCGATATTAAGTCAATGCGATGTACAATGACTTTTATAAGCGATGCCTTATAAACTAGATAATTCTTCTTTATTTTCTCTGTGTAGGACCTTATTTTATTTCTGTAATCTCAGGGGATGCACTTTGAAAGCGTCTTTTTAATATCAGCCTCATCACTTAGATACTCATCTCTGTGCAAGATACCTTTCTGTCCTATTTGAATGCAGAGCAGAGGTCACAGAGGATGTTTTCAACTTCTTTCCTTATGATTGAGGATAAACTGACACTGTGTTTTGATCAGGCTTGTATCTTGCATTCCTCTCCATTGGGGTAGTGCATGTTTGTGGCAACTGCTGCAAACATCTTGTGTTGTTGGTTTCTTGATGGCAGCCTGCTTTTGCTTATTGGCATTTAAGTGATTGCAATGTACTTTGCCAAAGGTAGGTCTCCTTTTCCAGGTACGACACTCTTGTTTGTCAGTGCTGCTCATGGTTTCCTAATTCAGTTAAGGTAACCATAATTTTTTGCAACAGTGGGAAATAATGGCCTTTCAGAGTAGGCAGTTTTCTTTGAAGAAGCTGTCTTAATTTGCTTATGTGCTCCTCTGACTAGAGAACTGAAATAGTAAGTTGAACAAACTGTCCTTTTTAATGGGAAAATCTTTAATCTTACCAAATTTTCCTGTGAATTTCAAACTTTAGTCACTGTCTGCTAAGAAATAAAAAGGACTTCGTATCTGTTAAAACAACCTTGTTACTAACTAGGTACAACTTCATCCTGCTCTGGCAGGTGGGTTGGACTCAGTGATCTCCAGAAGTCCCTTCAAACCCCTACCGTTCCATGATTCTATGATACTGAAAGTAAGCTGCACAAAGTTTAGCCAGCATTTTTCCCATTTATAAGCACATGTCCTATATGGTACACGTACTTTTTTCTTTTCCTGCTTCCCTCTACTGTTCTCTTCATGTTCCAAGAAGTTTCATTTCCTTACAATAGATTCTCATTGTTGAAGTTGTTGAAAAATCTTTTAATTACATCTTTCCAATGGGAAAGTGACTGTAGCAGAACCATGTTGCTTTTGATTTTCTCCAGAGCTGTACTACCTTCAGCATGCTTCTGTTTAAAATTCTTTTAGTTAAACAGTTGTGCCTGAGTGAGTTGCTTGGGACTTTTCATGGGTTGTGTCTTTCAGGAGCACATTACTCAAACAAACTTTGGAATGAAGGAGTTCTTGAAATTTGTATACATATTATTGACTCTTGTCCAGGTGAAAACAAGAAAATGCCACAGTTTAGGTTTCTGCCCTACTACAGTAATAAAAAGTGTAGGCAGTATCAGGAGTCTTCATTCTCTCCCTATGGTTAGGAAGGAAAACAGTCATGGAAGGAGTCACTGAATTTAATCCTAGAGGAGAAGAGGTTGTATAAAAGTTATTCTAAGCAATTATCTTCTATACCTATTAAAAATCTAGATCCATGTTGAATTTAATATTCCATCAGAACAGCAGTAATTTGTCTTTGCCTTACCTTGTATATGTAGCTTAAAGTTAGTTAGGCTCAGTTAAAAAGGGAACATGTTATAATGAAAATGTACATGCAGTATTACATGCTGAACTGTGTTCTTTAGTTTGGTTCTAAATATAGAATATTCATGTAAATATTTTAAAATAAATAAAACTATCAGTACTTACAGACAAACACAGGCCTACTTTAAAGAAAATAAAACCCTTTCATTTTTGTACATTTTTGGCTGTCCTTGCCCTATAAACATTTTAAAATAAAGGTGTAAGGCTGTACTGATGGTTTTCTTGCTAGTATTGATTTGCCTACTCATGATTTTGCAACTTATATAACTTTGAGTGCTGTGTGATTGTAGTATGTTAGTAGTACATTGCAGTGTTCCCCCAACTCCCAGGCCACATAGAATGGCATAAGCTGTGGTATAAAAAAATTAACTTCTATGAATGGCTCTTTTATTGTTGGGAAATACTTTTGGAGTGTATGTTTCCTATGTTTCATTTCCAGTATTTTGCTTTGAAGGTTAAAAAGCTTTCAGAATGAAATCTATTGCATACATTACTCTGCAGAGTACACTGATTCAGATGACGAGTAAGTTGATTAGCTTTCTTGCTTTACACTTTGAGCGTAATTCCAAATTCTGTACTTTGTAACAAACTTAATTGGTAATTATCTGTATAATAAAATTAGACTCTAAAATTTGTTCAGATGATGTCTCTACACCAGATTTCTGAATCTCTGTTCCACTTGGATTTTTTTTTTCCACAGCTCTTACTTCAGTTCATTAGGCAAGAGAGAACTAAATGATTTGTTGTAATTGAACAAGTGCTATTACTATCTAGAAAAAAGAGACAGAGGATTTACACTCTACCTAATGAAAACTAACGGAATGTTGTTGTTGTAAGCTTTGTCTTTTTTATCTTGATTGTGTCCTGTTTTGTTTTCCTAAACTCTTAAGTAAATGAGAGAATGTTCCTTAGCCGAAAACTATGATAGTCCAAAATAAGGGTGCTATATTTATTTGGGTATAGAATGTGCCTAGAAGCAGTATAAAGTCTGAAACAATTAAGAAATAATCCAAAATTTCAAGACTGCTACTGCAAATGCTTTACAAAAGAGTCAATCAACTGTCAAAGATAAAATGCATTTAACTGCAGAGGTGAGGAAACCAATATACAACAGCAAGAGCCAGTCATATAACTGTAACATGCCAAACAGGTCACTTATACGTGTCGAAGTTCGACATACCAATGGAGAGAAGGTTGAGTCTTTTATATATTTGATGTGCTTGCATCTGCAGTTGAATTTACTCCAGTGTTTGGTCTTTGTTTTTATTTGGCAAAATGTTTCCTTTTTAAAAAATTTGAACAAATCCCCAAGGCAACATTGTTGTTCAGTTTTTAAATAAAGACAGACCAGGAATATTAAATTATAGCTCCAGTCCTCACAGTAACTATAGCACCCTCATGTATGCCATCAAAAATGTTATGTGCAAAATGGCATTCTTTGTGCCAAAGCTATTTCTATTGCAATTCCAGTGACTTTATAGCACATATTTAACAGCTGTAAATCAGTAAGTAGTGCAAATGTTGCAAGCTTTTTTATAACCTTCTATCAGATTTCTTCTTTTTCTTCTCTGACTTAATAAATCTAATCTTCAGTTCTGACAATTGTGAACAGAGCCCGGTGACATAATTATTCCAAAATAGTGAACCAGATAAACAATTAGCTGAAAATAATGCTGTAATCTTACTGAATTAGATTTTCTATTCTAATCTTAAAGTTTGCTTTAGTATCTTTATCTGAGTGTATGAATTCACTTTTAACATTAACTTTTATATCTAATAGTGCATTCTTCATTCAAAACTAGCATATATGGTTTGATGACAAGTCTGCTAAGTGCTATAGTAATATGAAGACTGCTTATGAAATGGAGTGACTGTAATGTCATATATAATGTTAAACTGACTTGGGAACTCATAATCTCTATGGCAAGCACAGAACTGCTGCTAAATGGTCATTTTACTTTGAAGTTAGTATTTTGAATGAGTATCAAGAATATTTTGTTGGAAATAAACACTACAAATCAATTTTTGTTATGTTAGCTTGTCGGGTTAGCAGCTCTCAGATTCAAAATAGGACACTTAAAATGGAAACTAATACATCTGTTGCAGACAAGTATCCTTAGGATGTAGAATTTTCTGAGGTGTTGCTTCTCAGCTATTGGATTAGTCTCATACAGAAAATTGCCGTAGTCCTTTTGCATAGGTATGAATATAGGGCTAACTGAAGGTTATATTACAGATTTTTGGGATGTGTTTGCTATGTGTACAGATTAAAAAGTGATCTGAAAGTTGGCCTTTATTTTGAATTACTTGGAGTTTATAAAAACAAATGAAACTCTTAAAAATTACTGGCATTATCTCATTTTTTATAAAAGAGACCACAAACCAAACACAAATGCATAAATTACATACATTTTGTATTTTGTTTTATTTGGGTGAAGATCAGCTTTATAGTGTTGGTTTCCTATTTAAATCCTGCAGAAATGTGTGGAAAAGACTCTATGAATTGAGAAATTCAGCTATTCTTTTTCCCATTTTATAAAATGGGAGGCACTTCATGAGGGCAGACATAGTTGCTTGGTCTGTAAAGATCTTGTGTGTCTGTTGGCAATTAAGCAGTTGTCAGTACAGAATGCACATTCCTACAGTGAGGGCTGATGTCACCACCAGGGATTGGTGCTTAAACAGGGAAGCAGCAGCAGGAGCAGTTGAAATACCTATAAAATAATGATCCTTCTTGTCGTGCAGGTTATTTTCATTTTTATACAGGTTGTCTTGAGAATTAAAAAAGAATTTGAAAGAGGAATGCAGATACAATGAAAAGAAATGAAATGCACTCTTCAAATAATGCTGCCGCTGATGTTTTCTGTGAAGTCTCTGCTTATGCAAATATATGCTGCTAATAGGCTCAGTTGAGTGGGAAGTTTGTTTTGGTTCAGAAGAAATAAATAAGTTGACTTCTAGTTGTTTTATAGGATTGACTTTTTAACTACATTTTGAGAAGTCCACACACTGAAAATAGTGGCAGTAATTCTTACACTGCTCTGTGCCCTGTGAGCAGTGTTGATTTCTTACAGATATAAAGTAGGATGTGGTGATAACAGCACACTATTGGGTTTTTTGTTTGCATCATTTTGAGGGTTTCTTGGTACCAGCTCTGCCACTGTGGTATTCTCATCTACTTGATATTCTTAGCAGTGAAAAAACCCAGCACATTTTTGTGATGGATTTACTTGTCTATGTTTCATTTGGAAATGGTCACATGTTCTCTGTTTCTGTTTTGTTGATTGTTAGCTTTTGTAGTAAAACTAAAAACATTGTAACTTGAAGGAGTAAGGCAGGTAGCCTGTTTGGTCTTAAGCAGAATACAGAAACTTACTCAGTTATCTTTCATTAAGGACTCTGTCCCAAACTTTCTTGAGCTTGTGAAAATAAAACTAGCCATTTTAAAGAGCATTTGAATTCAATAGCCAAATTCTCATATTTTTTTTAGGTATTGTTCCAGGTTCTGAGGTGATGTTTTGTCCAACAGGATGCTGACAACTTTGCAGAATGCCACCTTACACTTTTTCATTGCAGCTAAAGTTACTGGCAAAATGTAATGACTAATATTTTTCAATGAAGGACTTCAGTTGAAGAAGTGTTTGTGAAGTGTTGTCACTTATGAACTATTAAAGAAGAGATAAAAACCCTACAGAAATATTTGTGTTGTAGCACAGAAATGCACTAAATACATAGATTATTTTTTATAAACTCTGAGTAGTTGTTGGTTAGCTTTTTCTAGTTATGTGGCTAACATCATGAATGTGCTGTTTTTGTAAAATGCCAGTTCACCTGTTCAGTTGAAGTCTATTGAAGAACTAGACTTTTTTCAATTTAATGAAAGTTACTGAATTACTGAAAAAGTGGAACCAGAATCTGGGTATTCAAGTAATATTTTTCAGTGGCTTAAAATAAAAATCCGAGGAAGGGTGGAGGGAGAAGTACAGAATGATGCTGTGGCATACTTTTTTTTTTCCTCTGGTAACTGAAGGTTAAATGAGTAGCAAGCAGAATGCCTTAAACAAGATTGGTATATTGATTAAAACGCTGATTTAACAGCTCGCTTTCTCCCTTTGGAAACCTGGAAAAGATAAGCCAGCTGCTGTCTAAGAGTGCTGAGTGTCCACTGAGAGTACACTATCTATCATCACAATATGGTGATGAGAGGTGTTTTATGTTTGTGTTAATTTCCCCCACTAAATCAGTAATTATTACAATCCTGTCCCTGCTGTTTACCCTGCAGCTGTTTTTCCATTTGTCGAGAGAGCGGGTGTTCTCAGAGGACCGCACACGCTTCTATGGTGCAGAAATTGTCTCTGCCCTGGACTATCTGCATTCTGGGAAGATTGTGTACCGTGATCTCAAGGTAAAAAAAAAAGAGAAAAAAAAGTAATCAAGTCTTTGTTTTTGCAGAGACTATTGGGACAATCACAGAGTAATTATAAAGTTGCACTATTCAGAGTTAATGGGGAAAAAAACCCCATCTCTGTTCAATTTAAAGTTCTGTGTGTGCTGAAGGAAACCATTTGATACAGTAATCTATAGATGGATGCATTACTTGACTTCAGCTTGATTAAAAAAAAATACATAGCATACTTTGATGAGAGCACCTGAAGAAGATCTAGACTTCTAATCCTTTTCCCTCTCCATTACTTATAACTTAAATTGCAACACAAATGTAAGATATAATTCTCAATGTCCTCAAACAAGGGAAATGGGGAACTGGGACAAGGTGACTGCACTCTCTTTATCTCAGCAAAGAGTTATACTCTTGTATGATTTGAAAACATTTTAAATAATTCAGAATACTTCAATAGGAAGGAAATTCAGCCTTTGTTTTAGAAGTTATTTTGTCTGTTGTATCTCATGAAAGAGTCATATTAGTGGAATGTAGTTTATCTTAGATTTATTTGTGTATATAGTCTGTATCCTCTATTGGCCGAAGCTCTTTTTATGTTATGCTGCAGGTACTCTAATGACACAGTATGGCCATGTTCTATGGAAGATAACCTCTGATTTTGACAGGAGCATTGTCTAACTTGTGTGGGAGGAACCTCTTGGGAGGAACCTCTAAATGCCACAATGAAGCTATTTTATTTCTGTGAATAGCCTTTAATGTTCAGTATGGGAAATTGTGCTTTCCCATTATATATGTGCAGTACTGGAGTTCATTCATGGACTCCTTTGTACAGGATCTGAGGAGAAAGGAGGCAATGGTAGGCAAGTTCTGCTCAAGGAGACAGACAGAAAACAAAATACCTGGTTACCTGTTCATAGCAGAATCTGTTCTAATAACATGACATTCTGTGACATCATGGAAAAATACTAATTTCTCTGGTCAGGGATTGATAGGTCATAATTTTTTATTTAAATTCCAAATAATAAGGAAAGAGGAATTTGACTTCATAAATCTTTGATTACTGGTGTCATCTACTTTGCATCTTCTTAGTATGAAACCATTAGACTCAACAGGAAATACATACCTTTGAATTGTATTTCAGGCTTTATGCAGATTTAGGAAGGCAGGGCTATGATTTTTCTTGGCTGGTATTTTCACTGCATGCTTTACAGTAAGAGAAAAAAAAAAGTTCAGAAATGTTGTTCAGAAGTATTTTTGCTTTCTTTGCATTTTACTTACTATGCTTTAATGAAACAACTTGTATATATCCATGTCCCATTCTTTTAAAATAATCCTTGAAGTATCTTGATTTTCCACAACCTTTGCTTTTTTTCTATGGAAGATACACCAACCTGGTAAAACTTCAGAATAAAAGACCATGTTTGGATTGACCTGGGATTTACCATTGTAAACTGTATTACAGTATTAGATAATTATTTAAATTGTATAAAAGTACACACTGTTAAATGCTGTAATATAATAGATGCTGTAATTAAAAAAAAAAATTACAGATAAATTATGTTATGTTGTACCTTTTAAAAAAAAATTGATGTAATGTGTTAGACTGTCCTGTTAAATACTAAGGGAACATTTTTTTCCCCAACACGCAGTTAGAAAATCTAATGTTGGATAAAGATGGACACATAAAAATTACCGATTTTGGACTTTGCAAAGAAGGAATCACAGACGCAGCAACTATGAAAACATTCTGTGGTACTCCAGAATACCTGGCACCTGAGGTATGATTTAGAGTATACTCTTGTAATGCAGTGTAAAATGTTTATGCTTCATTTAATTTAATTTTAGACTGTGGTGTTTGTATGCTGAAAACTGTTCATTGTAGTAAAGAACTGGCAGTCTGCATGATTAATGCTGTGCAGTTGTTACTCAGAATGTAAGTGCTACTTATCTTTTTGGTGATTTTTTTTGTATATTGACACTGTGCTTCTTAGAGTTTAAAAAGGCCTCTAATGTGCATTTTCCTTCTCATCTTTGCCTTCCTCTGTTACGGTTTTTATCTTCCAACGATTTCTTCAAAAATAATCTTCCATCTGTCTGTCACTTGGAACATATGATTCTGCTTAACTGAGCTGTGTAACTATTGTTTATATAGCCTTGGTGGAGGGGAGGGGGAATAGGAGGGTACTGAATTCACTAGGTTTTATCTGAGCTTCACAATTTCAGGGAGGGGGAGTTGAAGTTTTAGATATTTCTGCTCAAAACATTTGAGTGTATCAGCCTTAGAACTGCGGTGGGCACCAAAACGTAGCCATTTCCTAGCACGTATGCAGAAGTGGCATCCCAGAGTGTGCCACCATATCATTACCATTGGCTAGCACCGAGAGTGCCAGACACTTCTCGAAGACTGATAAAAAGATGGACATGAGGATTTAGTTTTGGTTCCCTTTGCAGTTCTGGTTTGGCCACTTAAGAATCTGCTGTGGAAGTTCAGGTCGTATAAATGATCTCTCCAATATTAGTGCTGACAGCTCTGACACTGACGCCTACTGAAAAAAGCAAGGGAAGCAGTCTCAAAATTGGGTTTTTGTCCTCTCTGGCTTCCATCAACAGTTCTGACCATGGTTCTTGGAAATGTCACCACCTCTCCCCTGGGGCTGCCAAACCCAACTCTAGTATTGACATGAAAGACAGCATTATTTTTTTACTTAATGCCAACATTTCTGTGGATGCTGAATTAGCCCTTATTTCCATTCTTGTCAGCATTCAAGGTTGCTACACACCTGATTCTGAGAGAACTTTCTAGTCAACTAAAGGGCTTTACAAGGCCCTTGTGTCCTACTCTTTGTTTTAAGAAGGATTCTGAAAGGGACCCCCCCACTTCTAGCAGTGACTCAGGACCACCAGAAAGTCTCTATTCCGTATCATCTTTGAAGAAGAATGTGCCTTAACCTAAAGAGAGAAGGTAAGGAGGCACTGATTCAGCACAGCTCTTCGCTCTTTGCTCTTCTTGTTTTCAGGACTATTGAATCCTGTGTAGTAGCAGCAAGCCCTGGAGCCTATTTCAAGAAGCAGGTTTAGATCATTATTAATTTTTTATTCTAAACTTTAGAACTGTCAAGGAAACTGGTACATGTCACATGCTGGATACTGCTAGCTGGAGATGAAGATCTTAGGATGGTCAGGTTTGTGGGTCTGAGAGTCTTTCTAAATCTCTTGAAACAAATTTCAAGTATCCTCTAATTTGCACTCAGGGAGGAAATTGAAACTGCTAATAGTTTGCTGTAAGCTAACATGGCATTAGAGGTAATGAAATAATTTTTGATCATAGCAAGATTTTTTTATACGTTGTTTTTCTCCCACTATAAAGGAAACATCAGTATTTTTAGGAGCCTCTAACTTTCTCTTAATCCATCTGGTTCCATCTTCCTTAATTCTTTTAGCAGTAAATGTGAGCAGTCATGCTCCCACACTGCAGGTATGAAGTACCTTAATAATTTTGGTTGGTTGTGTGCTTTCATTTCAGTTGTTTGGTGAGTCACTAGATGCTCTAGCTGTGAAGACCAACTCACTGATACCTTATCTCCCTTGCAGAATCCCATTCCAGAGATTCCAAGGAGGATGTGGATGCAGATTGTTACTATCCTGTTTGGCAATTTCTGACATCTCTTTTGTGTTCAGTGCAGAAGCAATCAGCATTATTTACATTTAAGGATTCCAGAACTATTCTTAGCCTGCTTTGAATCTTTTCTGGCTACTTAGAAGTGGCAGATCTACCTGTTTGAGTTGGTACAGTGGCCACTTTTCTTGTGTTACACACCCAGAATCGGCTCCAGCAACAAGAACACAAGGGGTCATACTGTCATCACTGGCATAGACCTCAAGTGTCATTGCCAGCTCGTACCCCCACATTGTCTTCTTGTCAGTAGTCTTGAAAACACTGGAAGAGTGCACATATCCCTTTCAGTTGCTTTTATCTGCTTCTCCATCTCTCACTTATGGAAACCTGTTAGTTCACTTCCATCAAACTTGGCAAGGTGTAATTCTAGGTTTTAGACACTTACACAAGTAATGTAGCAGTCCCACTCCTCCCCATCTCCCATTATGAGTATTTTTGAAGACTCACTGTGTAGAAAATTTGTCTTGAAGGAAACAGGTTTCTTCATTAACTCTGGGTACCACAGAATCCTTCCTTTTTACCTGAGAGATGAGGGGTTAGAGCAAGCAACTTAGACAGGTTACTGATATAGCATAAGAAGAGTCAATACTCTTATTCATGCATTCTTACCTAAAAAAGTGAAGTTAACAGCATACAGACACTATTGTAAAAAATAAACTTCCCCTTGGTATTCTCTGCTGCTGCAATAGTTTTTACTGGTGCATTGGCTGGATAGTTGCTCACGTAAGATAATTATATTTTCATACCTGGGACAGCTGACTGATAAAGGAACCATCAAGAGACTAGGTCCTCCAGTCTATTAATGTGCAAAAACTGCTCTTTGCAGTTCAGGCCACAGAAATCATTGCCAGATGCTAAAGACTTACTACCTTTTGACAAATTGCAGATCATAAGAACCTAACGTTACAGCTGGACTTTAATTCTGTTACCATGGTGAAATTCTGCTTTTTTTATCTCAAGACAAATGGCAGCATTCACTTACGTTTTGCCTGGCTGTGAAAAGTGTAAACGCAGATACCTTTTAGCCCTTTTTTTAGAAGCAAGATATTCTCCAGTTATACTGGGAAATACATTCAGCATCCATCCTTTTAATAATACTGTTGCATCCTCCGCTTTCACTTAGGCCAGTTGTGATAGATGCATCCCTTCTGCAGGCCTTTTGATTCAGTTTCCTATGTACTTTTTGGCTGGTGGTAGAGGACACTAGGACAGTGTACTCTGTAACACTCAGGTAGCCTGATGTTGCTAAAAGCCAGGAAGCACTTGACCCAGAAGCCTGGCAGTTGACCCACTGGCAGGATTGTCTGCCTAGCCTGAGAACTGACTTAATATTTTCTTTTGTATGAAGTCAGTGTGGTGGATTCACTTCCTCAAAGGAACTTGAGCTTGGTTCTTAAAATGCTTTTTGGACCATTGTTTGAAGCATAGAGTCTGGATCACTGTTTCATCTTTTTGCAAAAACTAGATTGCAGTTGCTTTCAACAGGAAAGCAGGGAAGTAGCTAAGCCAGGGTAAGGTAGATTTCCTCCTTGTTTGACCTTCTCTCAGGTGAAGGTGTCCTTGTGGATCCACACAGAATTATTTCCCATGGTGATTTCAGAATTAGTTTAAGCAGAAAATAAGCATACCTGTTGCTGTGTTTTCCATGGAAAGCTTATGTTTCTGAGATCAAATTAGTTCTTCCCACCTTCCTTTGGAATAGCTCTTTCATCTGTCATAGATAGAGCCTGACCTTTCAAATAGGAACTGAGACTGACTGTGCTGATATCTGGCAGATCCAGAAAAATGCCCCTGTGTATGTGCAGATAAAATGAATGGTGGGCCACAGGAAAAAAATGTAATGAGATTGACAGGTCAGAGCCAGTTCTCATCTTTAGAGCTAGAATTACTTTTCTGGATGGTCACTGATTTATTGTTTGTGGCATCCACCTGTTAGTTTATTGGTACTTGGTGAAGTACCTTCACCAAACACTGTACTGTTACAGGGGAATGCAAAGCTTCCAGTTTAGGTGGCCCGCAGGTGCGTTCCTTTCCTGTTTTCCTCCCCAAATCCTTCCCTGTTATCCAATGCCAGTAGTATTATACAGTTTAAAGAAAAGTAAAATAGCACTGACTGTGCTTTATTTTATGTAGTTATGTGCCAAGCATAAGAGATGGTAGGATATGAGTGTGTCCTCTAGGAAGAAAATAGTTGCCACTGTCAAGTATCAGGGCTTACATATGTTTACAGTACAAATGTACATTTTAGTCACAATTAATGAAGAATTAGTAACTTTTTTATTTGCGAAATTGTTTAAGCCTTGGAGAATAATTTGGTTATCTGATAACTAGTGACATTTATCTATCATCTGACATAGAATTAATGCAAGTGTCATTTTTTCTTTGAAAACATAGTAGTAATGCTGAATATTTCCCTGTGATCTAAGAATCTTTGGTATTCCCATTTGAAATGTATAAAATATTTTATAATTTCTAATTCCTTAGTAGTTTTTCAGGAAGAACAAACTGTTTCTGAGGAGTCTGTTTCCACTGTTGTCCTTTAAAGTAAGCGGTCACGTTAGACATCATTGTGGTATCAGAGAATAAACATAGACATAATGAGAAAAAGCTAAACTGGGATCCCATTTAGGAAATCGGGATGTACTCTTGACTTTATTAGAAAAAAACCCACAATATGTTTCTTTTGCAGTGGCAAAGGCAGGACAGGACCACATGTCTTTTCTGAACAGTATCACTTGTTTAATAATGAAAGAATAAAACTGAGAAAGTACTTGTAAATATACCTGTAAGACATTTAAAGGCAGTTTGGATTTTGAGAGTTTTCAGTTGATTATCAGGGATCAAAGAACTGCTAATAAAGTTACAGACCTCTACAGACTTTCTTTAATAGAACATTCAGGAAATGAAGCTTCTTGGACAGAGAAATAAACATTCTTGCAGCTCTTATTATTTATAAGGGCAATTTCTTATATGTAATTGCAGTTTTTGGCTCTCTGCATTTCAGTTCAAGTTCTTAGGATAAATGCATAGTCGTACTTACAGTGAGCAGTCACTGTGGTACTAAGTTTTGGTGTCCTGTGAAATACTAAGTTTAAATACCAG